TTTGGGTGGGTAGCTGGGCCCATAACAGCGCCAGCGAATCCCTGTAGTGAGCATCTTGATGCTCGTGGATATAGGCCTAGACGCTCCTCCTCTTGTGGTAGCGGAAGTGCCAGGGCTGCCGGAGGCTGGACCCGGGGACCCGGGAGCCCTCTTCCCAAGCGTGCACGCACACACCCGCACGCGCACAGCGCTGCCCTCACTCATCGCTCTCAGGTCCAGAAACTGGCTCCCCTCTGAGTCCCTGGGACGTGGACTCCCCTGATGCCCCACCTGCCGGAAGCCAGAGGAGCTTCTCTCAGGGTTTCTGATTGGCCAGATGTACCCACGGCCTGGAAGAGAGCTGGAGAACGCCAAGCCCGAAGTAGGACTTCATTTCTGGGGCTCAGTGTGCCACCCCTGCCCCAGGGAATACTCTGCTCACCATCTCCCACCCAGAGCTCCCATTGTGGGCTGAGGGGCCGGGGCTTGTTCTGCATGGCCCAGCTCAGGAGTAGGGCCACCTTGTGGGCAGCCATGCCCTTGCCTCCTCATGCAGACTGGGAACGACCCCTCCCATGTCTCTTTGAGCACACACTCCCAGGTAGCTAGGCTCTCTTTAACAGGGTCAGCCACCTCTCGCTGCCCCTCTGGCACCTTTGAATGCCTCCAACCTTCATATGGAGTGGTGGCAACATGAGATCACACTCACTCGTGCCTTATGTACTGCATGAGAGCTGAGGCACCCCCTTTGAGCCATTGCTCATTCACCATCCCTGTACCCCTATGACCCGGCTCTCCTAGCCCATGGCATGGAGGGGCAGCTGTGAGTAACAGGCCCATTTTCCAACAAGAGCCAACAGGGAAGGGTGGACACGGCAGTGGTGGGCATTGGGGCCAGTCATAGTGTGCCTGGAGTTGTCAACATCCTGCGGCCCGCACCAGCACCAGTTCTGTCAGGTGGTACACAGCCCAGGACTGGTGCCTCCTTATTCTTCCTTGGCTTTGCCATCTGCCAGATGGAGATACAGCACTAAGTCCCTGGAAAATGTGAAGTCACATAGATCACTTACCTGGGAGCCCACTTGTCATCCCCGACCCTTTGGGGCCTGGAGAACAAGCTCTTTAGAACTTTTTCCCACTGATCAGACTCTCCATACCTCCAAGGGGGGGAGATTCCTGGGATGCTTCCCTCCTGCCTGCCTCAGAGCCCCAGGCACTGTCTTCTGGGCCCTACAGGTTTCTGGCGGACTTTCCCCAGGCTTCCTCCTCAACTGCAAGAGAGCTGCCCAGACCTGGGGTCGTGGGGGCTGAGGAGGGCGGCAGCCAGAAGCTAGGCCACTGAATTAGAAGGCCCAAAGGTGTTCCTGAAAAGTCCAGTCGGCCTCCTGCTTCTCTTGCAGCAGACTACCTGCATGGGGCCCCTTCTGGCACTGCATGGCCACAGGTCCCCGGCTCTCCCCCCGCCAAAGCTACTCCTTATGCTCAGTATGTGACTCCTGCCCACACCCCCACGAAGGGGGTCTTGGCTCCGTCACAGCAGTTCCATCTCTGGGGCCCCCAGGACTGATTGGTCCCCTACCCGTACACATGCATGTCACAGCCTTCCTTGACTGCAAGCCTCCCCTCCTCCCAGTGTGACCCTGTGCCTTCTGACACTGCTCCACCTGCTTGCAGAGATCAGTGTACTACTCAATCGTTGTCCATATCTTTTCCAAAAAGATTCCTCAATGCTTTTCTTTTCACAAGGGAAAAAAAAAGGAAAAAAAAAACAATGCCAACAGCCCCAGCCCAGCGTCCGTGAGCAACCCAACAGTAACAAAGCATGCGCTCGGGATGGAGGAAGGTAAGGCCACACGTTTCCATTGCCGCTTGCTCCCAGGGCTGGGCGGCCGGGGTGCCTCAAAGGGGGGATCTGTGTGCACCCCCCACTCCCCACACTCTCGCTACTGAACGATGGAAGAAAGGCAAAGGGGTTTGAGAGGAGGCATGGAGAAGAGGACTCAGAGACAGGGCCAGGGCCAACAGGCCCTGGTTCTCTCACTGTCCCTGCTGAAGAACGGGCCCCATGCTCCTTACCACATCACTCATTCATGCATTCATGCTAGAAGTGTGTTTGGAGCACCAGTGATTTTCTAGATCCTGTGATTGCCACTAGGGTACAGAGATAAGGCACAGAACCCACCCCAGAGAGGCTGTCCCCCTGGAGGGGTAGACACACATTGAGGGTGAGAGGGCCTGGGCTAGGAGTCTGCAGAGAGCACAGTGGGGCCTGGCTGGCTCTGCAGAGGCAGACCAGGCTCCCAGAGGAATGGACGTTTGTGCTGAGCTTTGGAAGATGAGTAGTTATGGGGCTCAGGGAGCCTGTGAAGGGCTTTTGAGTCAGAGCAAGTGTACAGGCCCAGGGCCCTAAAGCAGCCTGGAGAGGGCCAAAAGTGACACGGGTTTTTTACTTTGGTTCCCCCAATATAATAATGGGAACAAGAGTGAGTTGGGCCCGGGGGGCAGGTCACGGAAGGCTGTTTTGTAGTAAGGACAAGTTTAGACCCTCCCTGGGGACCGTTAGGAGCTATTGAAGGTTTTTAAGCAAAGGGAAAGCAAGATGAGGTTTGTGCTGTTGGCAGACTACTCTGGCTTTGGTGTGGGGGTGAACAAGAGGGTGGGGTCTGGAGGTCAAGAACCCACATGTGCAGTGCAGGCATCACCAGGGCATTGGCAATAGAGCGATGTTCAGCAGAGCTGTGGCTACCCTGGGATGTGGGGGTGAGGGAGAAGGCCTGGCACTTCATCTTACTCAGGCCCAACTGGTGAAGAGGAAATATGAACAAGGCAGCTCCCAAGAGCAGCAGATTCATCCTGTAAGCCCCTGGGCAACTATCCCTGCACTGTCATGTGATGAGCTGGAGTGCGTCCATGAAGACTCATGTGGTGGGGTCACTGAGGCTGTGGGGATGCTGCTGGGGTCTGTGCCAAGAGGCAGTGGGGGTGCCACGCTTGGTCCCGGGCTCTGGTTTCCTCGCCTTCCTTGGCTGTGTGGATGTGTCAGCATCTTGCATCGAGGTCGTTGGGGTGTCCCTCAGCGCTGTCCCCATCCTAGTGGCCTTTCCTGCTCCTTCATCTGGGGCTCTCTTCCTTAGGCCTGGTGTCCAGCTCCTAAGGAAGCCCCTGCTTTTCTTGCTATGCCGATGCTCCTCTGCTGCCCTCCTGGCCCTGCTGTTAGCGCCCCCTAGTGCCGGGATGGCCGTGCATGAGGGCAGGGGCCTCTGGAAGGAATGGGGCCTCAGAGATCTCCCACAAACTCCTTGGCTTGCTTGCGGAGAGCAAAGGGACTGGAGAAAGGTCTCTTGGAGTCTGAAGTGTCCGTGTGGAATCCCCAGGCAGGGTCTACTCTTGGCTGTCTCATTCTCCCCTCACCCCCGGTGGCACAGTGGCCTGTACTCCCAAATTAGAGTGATACTAAAGAATGAACAGGAAGAAAAGATTCCACCCAGAGGCCACCTGTCTTATTTTCTATCTATATCCAGGTAACTCTCTACTTTCCCAGGGTCGAGGCCCAACAGGATTTTGGAGATCAGGGACATAGCCAGGTCCCCAGCCTATGTCTGCAACTCCCCTCCTGCCCGCAGTCCACAAAGAGATTCTGATAGCTCACTGTCCAGCCCTGGCCCCACGCTTGGGTGGTGCATCTTAGGGGCCCTTATACCTGGACCCAAGTGCCTTCCTTTCCCCACTCCATTCTGTGGCTGCTGCTTCTGGGCAGCCTCGGTGCTTTGGGGGTGGCCTGTAGGGAGTGGGGGTCCATGGCTAGTTACTGGATGACTGGTGGTGGCAGCCTGGGAGTGAAGGCCATGACCCCTTCACTCCCTAACCAAAGCCAGCTGTGCCGCGCGTGTGGAGGCAGGGGGCCTGGGGACGGGCGCAAGCTGCAGATCAAGGTCTCGCCAGACCAGATGAGTAATGTTTGAGCACACCTTGCTGTTTCAGATGACTGCTTTGAGGTCTTACACTCCTCACTTGGACAGGCCAGACGCCCTCAGTCACAGCAGGCTCACTTTGAAGAAGGATAGCTTTCAGGTCACCTTCAGAAAGCCAAGAAGAATTTATTCTTCCCTGCATTGAGGAAGCAGGGAATTGTATTCCCAACCCGCCTCCCTCAATGGTTGCCTTGGGTCAAGAGATTGTAGGGCGATTTAGGTGCCTATATATGGGTCAAGTCACCATACCCAAGAGGGCAGCATGGATGTGCAGGGACCAGAGAAGGAGAGGAGAGGGTAGGAGCCTCCCTGCCTCCCTGCCTGCCTTTCGGGTTGACAGTGAGCATATGCATTCTGAGAGGCCACCAGGAGACTTGGGGGCCAAGAAGAAGGGAGAGAGGAGGCACTGCAAGCCAACAGGGACCCTCTCTCCATTCAGCAGGCCCCTCTCAAACCAAGCATTCTCCCATGCAGGAAGATGAACACTTACCAGGAGGTGCCAAAGATGGGCCGGGGCCTGGCCCGCAGGCAGGTTGTGTGAGTGAGAATGAGTAACAAGTGAGTGACAAAGCCAAGGTGGAAGCTCTTGGGACAGGTGGGGCCGGAGAGGAAGCAACAGGTCAGGCGGGACGCTGTGCACCTTCCCGCATCCTGGCTTCTTCCACCCACCTCACCTGTAGATCTGGGACAGAAGGCTGTGAAGCGGGAGCATGCTGGCTGAGTGTGAGGATGTGTGCTGGTGCAGGCACAAGCCCTGCAAACAGTCTGGTCAGGGTGGCCAAACTCCTGGCCTGCAGGACTTCCCCCAACCAGGAAAAGACTGTGGTGAAACACTGGAGTCTGCCGGTCAAGGGGCTTCTCCCTCCCCCGACTGAGCCTCCCTGTGACGCAGCTGCCACCTGCCCATCCGGGGAGCAGGTGGGGATCCCCCAGCAGAAGGATGTAAGTGGACCCAAAGTGATGCCTCAAGGCAGGCAGCCCGGCCCAAGGTGTGCCCCCCACCTCCAGAGCCCACTCTGACCAGAGCCGGCCCTCTCCTCTGTCTTGCAGAACTTCAGCGAGAGGGAAGCATCGAGACTCTGAGTAACAGCTCAGGCTCCACAAGTGGCAGCATCCCAAGAAACTTCGATGGCTACCGGTCTCCACTCCCCACCAATGAGAGTCAGCCCCTCAGCCTCTTCCCTACTGGCTTCCCGTAGGTACCAGCAACCTGCTTCTGACTGGCCGGCCCACTCCCCTGATGGAGGAGGGGAGAAGCCCCTCTCTGGTCTGCCCTTCAGCCTCGGCTTCTCTTTCACCAACCATCTTCCCAAGCTTAGTGACAGCAGCCACCCATCCTACCTGGATCGAGAAGAGACCCTTCTCCCAAGCACCTCGGCGCACCCTGGCCTCTGCCGCACCTATCAGTGGGGCTGTGGCCAAGAGAGACTGCGGAAGTTTGGTCCCCTTCTGTGTTTGCACATGACATCCTGCATTGGATCCGCTTTTGTATTTTTTAACCGTCCCCTCGGGGGCCCTGGAACAGTGACCAGATCTTGGAGCCTGGGTGGGGAGAGGGTGGATGGTCCAGCCGGGCACCTTGACCCTGAGTGGACAGTCTCAGCTCCAGCTCACTTGTGGCTGTGACACACGCTGCCCCTTGCTCCCCTTGGTCAGCTCCCTCCAGCATGGGATGAACTGAAGCCCAGCGTATTAGGGAAGGAGGAAGGAAAGCGACGCCTCCCCTTCCTCCTTTCTCTCCCCATCAGCTCATGGGAAGAATCTGTCCTTCTTATCTTTAAGCCCTTTTGCCCTGGTCCTGTACTGTTCAGTGAAGGAAACTGTGGTTACTGAGGCCCTGTCGAAAAGTGCACGTCTTGTCCAATAAATCACGCTGCAATTGGTGTCCATCCATGAGTTGCCGGGGTCAGGGTCCTCTACAAACACTGAGCACAGTCCTGTGGCCTGTGTGCCCAGGCTCCCAACACCCCCTTCCAGGTGCAACTGGCAGCAGGGGGCGGGGACACAGAGGGTTGGAGTCAGTGGAGGGAAGGAACGGGAAGGAGAATTTTTGCTCTGGGATTTGGGTGGGGTCTGACTCAAGTCCATTCTCCAAGCTTCTTGCCCGTTATCACAGGCAATGAATTCTTGGGGTGCACAAGCTTAGACCCTCCCGGGTTGTGGTAGTCAAGGCCAGTCAGGCCTTGCTACGTGCTGGTGGGTTGCTGTGGGAAGGAGAGCCTGGCAGAGCCTCTGGCCTTATCTTTGGGGCACCTGGAATGCCTCTCTTTTCAAACTCAGAAGATGGAAGGGCGGCCAGGTGAAGGTAGGTATCTCGTGAAACCTGGCTGGAACCCCAAATGACAGGTTTTCCCTACCATTCCTGATGTTGCCCCCCTCCCCCAATTCTGGCCCTAAAGTGAATGGCAACGAGGAGGCAGGAGCAGGGGGAGAAAAAAAGGGGTGTATTGGGCAGGAAGGAGACTAACGCTAGTCCTGGTCCCCCCTTCCCTGTCCCACACGTCCTAGAAGCCTCAGGGAGGCCTTGGAGATAAAAGGAAACCCACTGAGCCAGGTGTGGTTTGGGGTGAAGTTTAATGGAGCAACCATGGACGAGTTGAGTTTACAGGCAAGCAGGCCGTCCCACGCCACCAACCAGCAGAGGTAGGGCAGTTCCTGGGGCCCCTGCCCACTTCAGGCACACCCCACCCCATTCCTGATACCTGAGAAGAGACTTAATCTTCAGTTCCCTCCACCACATCAGTTGGGCACGTTGGGATGGGGGCACCTGAATTACACTAGGCTCTGCAGGCTGAGAAGATGGTCCTGCGCGGGGTGGTCTAAGTCAGTCCCTCCTACCCAGACACCTGCAGCATAAGTCACATGCCGGAACGAGGCAAGCTGGGAACATGCCAGTGGGGGCTGCGAGGAAACGGCAACTTTTCTCCATTTTGCTGAGTTGGTTGCTAGGCCTGGCACCACCCCCACCCCCATCCCCCAGCTACAGCAGTGTTTCAGTCAAAAGGGACAGGGAGGAAAGTGCCACCAGGCTGCCTGTGCCCATGCCTGGCTCCCTGGTGATGGGTTCAGAAGCTCTAAGAAGCATGAGCCCCTCTGAACTTACTTCCCCCCCCCCCCCCCACATGGATGGGGTAAAGACCTTGCTGCCAGGGTCTCTCAGTCATTCAGGGAACTGGCTGGCAGCTTAGAGTCAGGAGTCCTCCCTGGCCCGCCCTTCCCCTCCAGCCAGGGCAAAACAGCTGTGGCCTCCTCCAGTCAGGGAAAGTGGTGGGTGTCAGGCTGAGCTTGCAGGACAATCTGGTTATTCATCTGCTCACAGTCAGGGCAACTCTTTGAGTATGTGGGGGAAGGGTAAGGATAAGAGAGGCCAGATAAGCTGGCCCCATGGCGGCTGCCACTGGAGCTCAGGTTATCAGAAAGGCCTTGGGCCTGGCCCCTGGCTAATTGGGGAGGTTATGGACCCTGCCATAGCCTGTAATCAGCTGAAAGTGAGCGCTGGGCCCCAGGGTGGGGGAGCCTCACTGCCCTCTGGCCCCGGAGCAGGCAGCTTCCTAACCTCTACAGATAACATCCAGGACAATCTCCGAAACACCCTCAGCTTCAGCGGACTTCACGATGGCATCATCTAGGAGGTCATCAGAACATGAATCTAATTGTGGCCGGCCCAGGTGACCGTGAGGAAGCCATGTGACCTCCCTGATTCTCTCTGTACTACCTGTTCAATGGGCAAATTACTACGAACCCTCTCTCAGTTGATGGAGGAAAAATATCTTCATGATCTGGAAAGAGACTGGTGGACCTTGGGTGTAACCAGAGGTGAGGGTGTTGTCTATCATTGATTGGAGAAACGGCTCAGCGGTCCCAAGGCAAATTCAGGCACACAAGCACAAACACCGGGGCCAGCTCCTCTGTAAACAAGCACTGGCAGGCCTAGTAGCCACCCGTCAGGAGTTGGGTATGGCTTCTCAGTGCTAATTTTCTATTTTCACAAATCAGAGACTCTAAACTAGAAGGTACCTAAGAGCAGGGTTCAGTCCTCATTCTTTGCAGATGACAAGTCTGAACTCTGGAGAAGGCCAGGGCCTTGCTGGAGGTCACTAAGTCACATGGCTCATCAGCTGACCTCTGTCGGCACCTTGCTGCTTCCTGCCCTGGCTAGGTCCCTTAGAGAACCCTGGATCTGAGCTGGCCTCCTATGTCCTGTGCCCCCATAAGACCCAGGTCTCTGATTCCACTGACTCACATGCCTACTCCTTCAGGAGTCACTGGACTTTGCAGCTGCTCCCTTGTCCCTGCAGACCTGTGAAGGCAGGCCGACACACACACACACACACACCAGCAGACCTAGTACTGGAAGCTCTAGAGGCAATGGAAGAGGGCATCCTATATGCCTTGTATGCAACCAAGAGCCCAGTGACTGGGTGACCCTAAGTCCCTTGCACTGTCGCCTTGTTGCATGAACAGGGTGGGGAGCTTGGCAGCAGTGGTCTCTCAGGAGTGGACCTTTTAAGGTCCCAGGGTCCTAGCTCTGCCACCAGCAGCTGTGTGGCCTCGGGCAAATTACTGCACCTCTGGGCCTCACGGTCCTTGGTCCTTGGCTATAAAAGAGAGAGGTGGGGAGAGGGGGTGTGCCCCCACAGGCAGGGAGACAGCCCAAGCAGGCACAGGGGAAGCTGTAGGTCACAAAGGCCAAAGGGTGGCTTGAGAGGGAGCGCGTTTAGGCCATGGTGTAGGGTGGCAGAGGCGGTGCAGCTGGAACCGGGACTGTGGCTCCTACCCTGCTCCGGGGAATTCCGGCCCCGCTTTCCGCGAATGTGTTTCTGAAAGCGAATCCAGAGCCTGGTGAGCGCGTGGAAGCCCCGCCCCTCTGTCACAGGTGGGTGACAGAGGTGGGTCCGTCCTGAGGGTCTCACCTGTGCTCTGCCCTCTCCCTCAAATCACTCAGCAGGGTGCCCTGTTCACGCTTCCGTGATCCCAGACACCGCCATCCATGGTGTCACCCCTGCACGCTCACGCACACGGCTTCCCAGTGGCGCGCCTACACTGCCGACCCCGGGGTTCCAAGCGTGCAGCCGCGGACCGCACCCCCGAGCAGGGCGTAGTCCGCTGCTCCCAGGGCTACGGGATCCCCCCAAACTCTGGGGAAGTCACCCAAAGTCCGGCGGGGACGGGGCCTCGGCTCTCGGCCGCGCGATCTCGCGCTCGGATGCCGAGCGACGGCCCTCGAGGGCCTGGGCGGCCCCGGCCCGTGGCAGCCGGGCCGGGCCTCGCCCTCGCGTCAGCCTGGACGACGAGGGACGGGGCCACGAGGCCGTGGCTGCGGAGGCTGTCCCCGAGCCGCAAATGGAGTGAGGGGCCCGCCGCCCATCTTGGCGTAAGGCCGGGCCACACCGCCACCGGGAGGGAGTCGGGCCGCCCGCTCTCCCGCGTCCCCCGCCCCAGCCCAGCCAGTTGGCCCGACCCTGCGCGGGTAATTGGGACGGGCGGGAGGCGGCGGGCGGGCGGCGGCTCCAGAGAGACTGCGCGCCTGTCAGCCGCAATTTGTTTAAGTGGACGGGACAGGCCGGACCGCTGCGGGCTGGGGTCACCGGGGCCGCGGCCCCCACCCCCGCCCGACCCGGGCCCCCG